AGCTGAGACTTCGTCAACTAGCAGGCATAGACCCAGCAGAAATTATAGTGCCTTTCACTGCTGATGAACTAAAGAAATTATGGGAAGATAATGAACCATGGCAAAGAGCTTGTGCTAATTTTTTGGGAGACATTAATAACAACTATCCAAAAAGCAAGAGGCTTAACTTCATAAAGAGAACTTCTTGGATTCTTCCTAGAATTGTACGTGATGCTCCAATAACTGGAGCCCGTACATTCTATACTGATGCCAATAAATCAGGGAAGGCAGGATACAAATCAGAAGACTTGGGTAAGGTGGAACAAAGTCCGTATAATTCTGTCCAGAAGGCAGAATTATATGCTATTCTTATGGTGCTAAGGGATTTTAAAGAACCTATTAATATAGTCACTGATTCACAATACGCAGAAAGAGTTATTTTACATATTGAAACTGCTGAATTTATACCTGATGATACAGAACTAACCTCATTGTTTCTCCAGGTTCAAGATTTGATCAGTAACAGGCTTTGCCCTATGTACACAACACACATCCGATCCCATACAGGTCTGCCAGGTCCTCTAGCACAAGGTAATGCAGAAATTAATCAATTATTGATTGGCAGTGTGCTACAAGCCTCTGAATTTCATAAAAAACATCATGTTAATAGCAAAGGTTTGAAGAAAGAATTTTCAATTACATGGCAACAAGCTAAGGAGATTGTAAAGAAATGCCCTACTTGCTCTTTCTATAACCAAATGCCACTGTCTGCAGGGGCTAATCCAAAGGGCACCCAAAGGAATGAAATCTGGCAGATGGATGTGTTCCACTTTGCAGAATTTGGCAAATTAAAATATGTTCATCACACCATCGACACTTATTCAGGATTTCAGTGGGCAACTGCTTTAAGTTCAGAAAAAGCTGATTCAGTAATCACTCATTTATTAGAAGTCATGGCTATCATGGGTATACCTACACAAATAAAGACGGATAATGGTCCTGCTTATGTCTCTAGGAAAATGAAATGGTTTTTTGATTATTACAATATCAAGCCTGTTACAGGTATACCATACAATCCTACAGGTCAAGCAGTCATAGAAAGATCAAATCGAACTATAAAGGATATGTTGAACAAACAGAAAGGGGTGGAAAACACCCCCAGAAATAGGTTACATAATGCTTTGTTAACCTTGAATTTTCTCAGCGCTAATGAGAAGGGAACAACGGCTGCAGAAAGACATTGGATAATGGAAAAGTCTACTGAACTAAATCAACCAGTTTATTTCAAGGATGTGCTGACCTCACAGTGGAAGTCAGGAGATGTGCTATGTTGGGGAAGGGGGTTTGCTCTTATCTCCACAGGTGAGGAAAAATTGTGGATACCATCAAAATTAATAAAGGTTCGGTTTGAAGAAGAGAAGCCACTTGGAAAAGATAAATAACAATTCTTGCATAAGGATGGCGAACATACTGATGGTAAGAAATACAGATAGGTTGGAGGCAGGGTTCTTTTCTTATCTCCACAGGAAAATACTCATCTTCAAAGAAATTGAGGGACCCTGAATATTGAATTACTGATGGATGGACACATTTTGTAAGTATTAATTTATATATATATATGTCTTATTAAACATTTCTTTATAAATATATAGAGCTGGTTTTGAAGTTGGACTCTGGCTCAGTCCCTCTCCAATTCCAAGCCTGTTAGTAAGAGAAAAACCCAGAGTTTCTGGAGTTTCTGTCTCATGTCAAGAGCCCTGATATGGGTCAGAAAGAAATATGAGTTTAGAAAACATCTTTGCTTTTCTCCATATCTATCATACTTTTCATTGAATATATCTATCATGGCTTTCATTGAATATATATATGTATGTCTATATGATTTTTTTTTGATGACATATGCTTTTAATCCTAGGATTTAGAAGGCAGAGGAGGCAGAGGGATCTCTGCCACTTCTAGGCAAGCTTTGTTTAGGGAACAAGTCCCAGGAGAGTTAAGTTTTTCATAATGAACAATGAGTTTTTCCTGAAGTGACATTTGAAGTTTCCAGGAAGAAGATGGGGCCCCACAACAACAACTCTACCTGGTTGATATGATGTCATGATACTGATAGCGCTACTACAAGACCTGTTTTGGATACCAGCTGCACAAGACGATCCCAACTTGGTTAGCTGAAATGGTGCACATCTTGTACAACATTCTGGCCAGACCTCCACAAAATACTCAGAGACTATTTGCAATTTTAAAAGACATTGATCTTGAAATTTAACCATCATTTTACTTTCACAGGATTCCCCAGAAAGAACGTCGCCCCATGACAGCTGGAAGTAATTCTAGAGGACGACGTCCCCTCTCCCAGTAAAATTTACCCCTGGGTTTAGGGACATCATTTAGGGGTTGGGAGGTTGGGGGAGGAATTTTATAAGCTCAGGGATCATTTTGAAAAAAAAAAAGGAGGGAATGATGGGATAATAGATTTATAATTGTGAGTTACTGCTTTTAGACAAATATATTGGTATCGATTCTTGTATATTGATACAAAGTTAAATTATATTGACTATTGTATGCATGCATGTTTCTATCTCTGTTTAAAAAAAATTTTATGTATTGACATATATTGTATTGATAAATATATATTGTATATATTTACCATATTGCAGTGTACATTTCTACCTCTGATTAAGAAACTTATATAATGTTTGTGTATTGATATATATTTACCATATTGCAATGTATATTTGTACAGTGTTTATATTTGGAGGTCATTATCCTCATTTGTTACACAGTTGTTTATTGTCTTAGTCTTTAAGTTAGATAGATATTGAGAATTATATAGATAAATAGTCATCTAAGTTTGTCATTTATAATTAGACTAATCAGGTTCTTTAGATATATAGAGATTATACTCAGTATAGATAGATAATCTTCGACCTCTTCAAAGAGCTGTAGAAAATGGCCTTTAATCTAACTCAGAGTTTCGTGATAGTGAGACACAATTGCTCCTGGCAACACCGCTCTATTCCCGAGAGAATGTTGAGCACCAAAGACACTCCATCTGGAGCCTTTCTATTTGGCAGAACTGGCCTTTGGGCAAAGAAATGCCCATACCTCAACCACTGACAGAGATACAGAGCGTGCATCAATGGATAAAACAGGACTGTCATATCCTGCCAAGACAGGGTAAGATAGTTTTGAAAAGTTCCTTGCCTTTAATAATGGTATGTCAGTTATGTTAGGCCTTAGCCAAAATTGGTTGACTCAACATTGCAAACGAGACTTTGGGTGATTGCCCAGGTAGTCAGTTGTCTCTGTCAATTGTTGCACATTTTGGATATATCTCGTTTGTTGAGTAGTGTTTATTCCCTTCTCAGATCTTTGACGGAGTTGAAGATTATATAATTGTAGTTACTCTCTACATTATTTGGACTCCTTGAGATAGAATGTTTAGCAAAGATTTTGTTCTCAATATTGTTTGTTGTATTTATTATTTGTTGTTATTGTATATAGTTGTATTTGGTTTGGTTCTGTCTTATTTAGACAAAAAGGGGAGATGTAGGGATAAGTCCCGCCCCTTGGGGGGCGTGTTCGCCTCGGGCTAATGTCTGCCTATAAATTTGGCGAGCGTGCTCCCAGCCGCTGCTTCTGCTTTCCTGGTCTCCGCGGGAACGGTGGTTCTGTAAGTCTATTTCTACATTAAAGCTATAGATATATATATTTTTACAATCTGTCTGCATTCGTTTACGCCGTTACATACAGGGTATATTCCAGGACAGCTGGGGTTACACAGAGAAGCCCTGTCTCAGAAAACCAAAAGAACAAAAAAGAAACAATCAAAAGACCCAAAACACCATGATTGCAAAAAAAAAGCAACTAATAAACTAAAATTAGAGAGATAAAATACTAATTTTTAAGTATTTCTATTTGCAATGACTTAAAATAATAATTTTAAAGAAAAAATAACATATATTCCAGAGAGGTGTTGGGATTAATGAGTCCTGGCCTTCAGTTGCTTTTCCCTCCTAGAACCTTCTAATATAAGTTACTAGAAGCTGTGCCTAGTTAGAGGATCAGAGGATCACCTGTTGACCGTTAACTGCAGTGTATTTAAGTCTACATGGTGTTAATAAGGAGGGGCTTTCTGAACCAGCGTTTTGGAGCTGCGTGTGTCAGTCTATCTCTGCGTCTGTCTCTCAGCCTCCAGTCCCTTTCCTGATAATTCGGCTGAGATTTCCAATTGCCACTATCTCGGTGGAGACCTCCAAATGCTGCGCACCGCACCCCCTGTGTCTGGGCTCTGTGTGCTTGAAACCAGATACCGAGCTTTGGGCAAGGGGCTGGAGGTTAAAATACACAGACACACATAGACAGAGAGACAGCGACACGGGTCATCCTTGAATTCCCCAAGAATATCTCCTTTATTGTGTTCAGGGACAGATTATATAGAGATAGCCACGCCCCAGCCAAACCCACCAGAAACCACTCTCCTGCCATCGAGAACTCCTGAAGGTCTCGTGCTCAAAGCAGCTGTAGGCACTCAGATCAGGGGATTACAAGAAATTCAGGATCTGGGGTCTCACTGCTCCCAACAGAGAGGTACTACAATTTTCTTTTCTTTTTCTTTCTTTCTTTTTTTTTTCTGGGACAGGATTTCTCTGTAGCTTTGGAGCCTGTCCTGTAACTAGCTCTTATAGACCAGGCTGGCCTCGAACTCACAGATCTGCCTGCCTCAGCCTCACGAATGCTGGGATTAAAGGCGTGTGCCACCACTGCCCAACTGTAAGTTTTTTTGTTTTTGTTATTTATTTATGTATATGAGTGCCCTATTGCATATGTGTTTGCCTGATAGAGAAGGGCATCAGATCCCACTATAGATGGTTGTGAGTCACCATGTGGTTGCTGGGAATTGAATTCAGGACCTCTGGAAGAGCAGCCAGTGCTCTTAACCTCTGAGCCATCTCTCCATCCCATAAAGTCTATTCTTGTTTCTCCTTTCCCTTATTTACAAATCCTTTTTCTTACAGCAAATCTGTTTATCCTAAAAGCATCTGTCTATGTACAAGTAAGTACAATGACAGTCAGTTTTTGTTACTGCAACACCATAGAACTAAGCCATTATCTGTATACTGGAAATGAAGAAATTGCGTGCAACGTGAGATTAAGTAAACAATAGGGCGGACGTCACAGGCCTACTCTCTGAAATCTGCCTTTGGATCCTCCTACCATTTGTGTTTTCTTAAGACAATGAAACAAAACAATCACTAAGCATTTTTACCATTCCCTATAGTTAACCAGTCCCACACTGTGGAACAGAATTCAAAGTGTCCAAAATAATAGGGAGAATGGATAATGTCAGTTTTGAGAAACAAAACAAAAAATTTGGACTTTGGTAGGAATGGTCTACATTGTAAATGCAAATTCATGTAAAGAAGTCATATCTGACTGTGAATGAAAAACTCCTGGAAGGGGTCTGTGTCTACTGAGACTGACACCAGTCTTGGAATTGGAACTTCAGTACTATGTAAAGGTTGGAATTGTGTAAATTCAGAGGTTAGTTACTTTATGTTGGCTAGTTTTAGCTTCTGGAACAGCCATGCCTTGGCCCACTCTGTATCTGAACTAACACCTCATGATAAATAGAAACCTCTTAGAAGCTATTAACTTAGCAGAACACTAACTTCCACCAATTCAAGGGCTAAGAATGTCTTGAGATAGCATCTTGGGCCTATAAAATGTACCTTCCCCTAATCTCATTGCACCCTCCTCTCTAGTGTACACACGAGTATATTTTAAGTATGCCTTTATGATTTTCTTTGTTCTGTAAAACTATAAAAACTTAATGAAACCGCCTTCACACTGGAACACAAAATTTAGAGAAACCTAAGTCTGTGTTCCTAGTCATGGTCACTCAAAATGGCTCCAGAATAAATTCTTTCTTACTCCCTTTAGAAGACAAGCTGTGGTTTTTACATTGACAACATTTTTCATGAGCCAGAAGCAGGCAGTGAAGTATGGGAAGATACTTTAAAAATAGCGTATGACTGTACTGCACTGTTTTAGAAAAACTAGCCGATGAGATCAGTGGTTTGTTCTGACCCAGGGAACAGATTATGTGAAGTGATTTTGATGTCTGCAAGTTTCTTCTCCACCCTCCATACAGTTCAGCTTGCATGAAGATTATTCAAAAATTAAAACTTGCAATAACAATGTATTGTCAATTAGTCACCCCAGTCACCTCTGTCTCACTGCTTCAAGGTGTGCAGCTTGGGTTATAGCTAGACAGCTGCAGATAATATAGCCATAAAAGCATAAGTAGAATGAACATAAAAAGCAATGTTATTGTACTTCTTTGAGCAAGAATACCTCGGGAAAAAGCATTGTAATTAGAATGTATGCAGTAATTACAGATACACACAAGAGTATGGGCATCATAGGCCTCTATTTTTGCCTGGTTGAAGTCAATTATTCAGCATGTGGGAGCGAGAAGAGGGTGTTGGGTCTCCTGGAACTAGAGTTATAGGTAGTTATGGGCTACCTGATGTGGGTTTCAGAACTGAACTCAGGTCCTCTGCATGAACAGCAAGTGCTTTTAACCACTGAGTCATATCTCTGGACCCCACTGGAAGGCTTTCAGATGATGAAAATTACTTCATCTCTCTAGAGGAATATTTGAGTTTGGCCAGAAACAGATGGTCACTAGTAGATGAACAAACACTGCACTTAATGCGGAATGGGAATGGTCCCTGTGTTCCGAGGCCCAGGAGGGCAGAAGAACCACTAACTGTTTATGCCCCGCATGTGAATACAAACAGGACAGAGTTCATGCACCTCAGAGTTGACTTTTCCAGCTTCCTCTTCATAAGAGGAGAGAGGCAGAGGTCAAATGAACATGCAGTGACCAGTTACAAAAAAAATCCCCAAAAGCTGTCTCCCATAAATTACGTATTATTCAGGGTTATTTGGGATGATTCAGGACAGGAGATAGAAACAATTTTCTGTGTTTTAAGCAGAAATGAGTTTAACACATTGAAATAGTGGTTGACAGATCTTGGTCACTAGAAACAAATCCTCCTTTGAACCAAGTCACTGGGAAGCTGTTTCCTAAAAGCCATGACTTAAACAACTGGATTCAAGAATGCATGACCGTAACTAGAGTGGAGAAATTAGGAAGTGGGACTGAGAGAACTGACCATAGAATTCATCTTGCTCCCCACCTCACCATGGAGAAAGCTGGGGATGTCACTGCTATGTCACTACCACAAAGCTTCCCATTTGGGGCTGGAATGTGCCCAAAATGATTAAGAGCACAGTGGCTGCTCTTCTAGAGGACCAAAGTATGCTATCTTCTAGTCACATGATCTCTCACAGCTATCTAAGGCCAGTTGAGGGGAATCTGAGGCCATTCTTCTATTGAGGGGCATCTAGGTTGTTTCCAGGTTCTGGCTATTACAAATAATGCTGCTATAAACACAGTTGAACAAATGCTTTTGTAATATGATAGGGCATCTCTTGGGTATATTCCCAAGAGTGGTATTGCTGAGTCCTGGGGTAGGTTGATCCCAAATTTCCTGAGAAACCGCCACACTGATTTCCAAAGAGGTTGCACAAGTTTGTATTCCCACCAGCAATGGATGAGTGTACCCCTTACTCCACAACCTCTCCAGCAAAGACTATCATTGGTGTTTTTTATTTTAGCCATTCTGACGGGTATAAAATGGTATCTCAAAGTTGTTTTGATTTGCATTGCCCTGATTGCTAAGGAGGTTGTGCATGACCTTAAGTGTCTTTTGACCATTTGAACTTCTTCTGTTGAGAATTCTCTGTTCAGTTCAGTGCCCCATTATTTAATTGGGTTAATTAGCATTTTAAAGTCTAGTTTCTTGAGTTCTTTATATATTTTGGAGATCAGACCTTTGTCAGTTGCGGGGTTGGTGAAGATCTTCTCCCAGTCAGTAGGTTGCCTTTTTATCTTAGTGACAGTGTCCTTTGCTTTACAGAAGCTTCTCAGTCTCAGGAGGTCCCATTTATTCAATGAGGTCCTTAATGTCTGTGCTGCTGGGGTTATACGTAGGAAGTGGTCTCCTGTGCCCATGTGTTGTAGAGTACTTCCCACTTTCTCTTCTATCAGTGTGTTCAGATTGATATTGAGGTCTTTAATCCATTTGGACTTGAGTTTTGTGCATGGTGATAGATATGGATCTATTTTCATTCTTCTACAGATTGACATCCAGTTATGCCAGCACCATTTGTTGAAGATGCTTTCTTTCTTCCATTGTATACTTTTAGTTCCCTTGTCAGAAATCAGGTGTTCATAGGTTTGTAGGTTAAAATCCGGGTCTTCTATTCGATTCCACTGGTCGACTTCTCTGTTTTTACGCCAACACCAAGCTGTTTTCATTACTGTAGCTCTGTAATAGAGTTTGAAGTCAGGGATGGTAATGCCTCCAGACGATCCTTTATTGTATAAGATTGTTTTGGCTATCCTGGGTTTTTTGTTTTTCCATATTAAGTTGATTTTTATCCTCTCAAGATCTGTAAAAAATTTTGATGGGATCTTGATGGGGATTGCATTGAATCTATAGATTGTCTTTGGTAGAATTACCATTTTTACTAGGTTGATCCTCCCAATCCAAGTGCAAGGGAGATCCTTCCAATTTCTGATATCCTCTTCAATTTCTTTCTTCAATGCCTTAAAATTCTTGTCAAATAGATCTTTCACTTCCTTGGTTAGAGTTACCCCAAAATATTTTATGCTATTTGTGGCTATCGTGAAAGGTGAAGCTTCTCTGATTTCCCTCTCTGCTTCCTTATCCTTTGTGAATAGGAGGGCTACTGATTTTTTGGAGTTGATCTTGTATCCTGCCTCGTTACTAAAGGTGTTTATCAGCTGTAGGAGTTCTTTGGTGGAGTTTTTGGGGTCGCTTATGTACACTATCATATCATCTGCAAATAACGAAAGTTTAACTTCTTCCTTTTCAATTTGAATTCCCTTGATCCCCTGATGTTGTCTTATTGCTATGCTATAACTTCAAGCACTATATTGAAGAGGTATGGCGAGAGTGGACAGCCTTGTCGTGTTCCTGATTTTAGTGGGATGGCTTTGAGTTTCTTTCTGTTTAATTTGATGTTAGCTGTTGGCTTGCTGTAAATAGCTTTTATTATATTTAGGTATGACCCTTGTATCCCTAATCTCTCCAAGACCTTTATCATAAAGGGGTGTTGAATTTTGTCGAATGCTTTTTCAGCATCTAATGAAATGATCATATGATTTTTTTATTTAAGTTTATTTATATGATGGATTACATTGATAGATTTGCGTATGTTGAACCAGCCCTGCATCTCTGGGATGAAGCCTACTTGATCATAATGGATAATTTTTCTAATGTGTTCTTGGATTCGGTTTGCCAGTATTTTATTGAGAATTTTTGCGTCAATGTTCATGAGTGAGATTGGCCTGTAATTTTCTTTCTTGGTTGAGTCTTTGTGTGGTTTTGATATCAGGATAACTGTAGCTTCATAAAAGGAATTTGGCAATGCCTCTTCTGTTTCTATATTGTGAAATACATTAAGGAGTATAGGTATTAGGTCTTCTTGGAAGTTTTGGTAGAATTCTGCATTGAAACCATCTGGTTCTGGGCTTTTTTTGGTAGGGAGGTTTTTGATAACGGTTTCTAATTCTTCGTGACTAACAGGACTATTTAGATTGTTCACCTGGTCTTGGTTTAACTTTGGTATATGGTACTTATCTAAAAAAAATGTCCATTTCTTTTACATTTTCCAATTTTGTGGCATACAGGCTTTTGTAGTAAGATCTAATGATTCTCTGAATTTCCTCTGTGTCTGTGGTTATGTCCCCCTTTTCATTTCTGATCTTATTAATTTGCATGTTCTCTCTCTGCCGTTTGATTAGTTTGGATAGGGGTTTGTCAATCTTGTTGATTTTCTCCAAGAACCAGCATTTTGTTTCATTGATTCCTTGGACTGTTTTCTGTGTTTCTATTTTGTTGATTTCAGCCCTCAGTTTGATTATTTCCAGTCTTCTACTCCTCCTAGGTGAGTCTGCTTCTTTTTTTTCTTGAGCTTTCAGGTGGGCTGTTAAGTCTCCAGTATGTGCTTTCTCCGTTTTCTTTAAGTGGGTACTTAGTGCTATGAACTTTCCTCTTAGCACTGCTTTCATAGTGTCCCATAGGTTTGAGTATGTTGTGTCTTTATTTTCATTAAATTCAAGGAAGACTTTAATTTCTTTCTTTATTTCTTCCTTGAACCAGGTGTGTTACAGTAGTTGACTGTTCAGTTTCCATGAGTTTGTAGGCTTTCTGGGGGTAGAATTGTTGAATTCTAACTTTAATCCATAGTGATCTGATGAGACACAGGTGGTTACTAATATTTTTTTGCAACTGTGGAAATTTGCTTTGTTACTGAGTATGTGGTCAATTTTCGAGAAGGGTCTATGAGATGCTGAGAAGAAGGTATATTCTTTCATATTTGGGTGGAATGTTCTATAAATGTCTGTTAAGTCCATTTGATTCATTACTTCCATTAATTCTCTTATTTCTCTGTTAGGTTTCTGTCTGGTTGACCTGTCTATTGGTGAGAGAGGAGTGTTGAAGTCTCCTACTATTAGTGAGTGTGGTTTGATGGCTGCCTTGAGTTCTAGTAATGTTTCTTTTACATAATTGGGTGCTTTTTTATTAGGGGCATAGATATTCAGGATTGAGACTTCATCCTGATGAATTGTTCCTGTTATGAGTATAAAATGTCCCTCCCCATCTTTTCTTATTGATTTTAGTTTGAAGTCAACTTTGTTAGAAATTAGTATGGCCACACTTGCTTGTTTCTTAGGTCCATTTGCTTGATAAACCTTTTCCCAACCCTTTACTCTGAGTAAATGTCTGTCTTTGTGTTTGAGGTGTGTTTCTTGTAAACAGCAGAATGTTGGATCCTCTTTTTGTATCCAATCTCTTAGCCTGTGCCTTTTTATAGGTGAGTTGAGTCCATTGATATTAAGTGATATTAATGACCAGTGGTTGTTAACTCCGGTAATTTTTTTTTTTGGTAGTAGAGTTTGTGTGTTTCCCTTCTTCGTGTTGTGCTGGTGAAGGGTCATTAGATGCCTGAGTTATTGTGGGCATTGTTGGACTCCTTGGTTTGTGATTTTCCTTCTATTATTTTCTGTAAGGCTGGATTTGTGGCCACGTATTGTTTAAATTTGTTTTTATCCTGGAAAATTTTGTTTTCTCCATTTATAGTGAACGAAAGCTTGGCTGGATATAGTAGTCTGGGCTTGCATCCATGGTCTCTTGTTTCTTCAGTACATCTATCCAGGACCTTCTGGCTTTCATGGTTTCCATAGAGAAGTCAGGTGTAAGTCTGATAGGTTTACCTTTATAAGTTACTTGAACTTTTTCCTTTGCAGCTCTTAATAATCTTTCTTTATTCTGTATGTTATTAGACCATCAAGTGTTTTATACAGGCAAAGAATCACAACTTCACTGAGTTATACAAATGCAGCATAAACCAAAGCAACATGCCTTAAAATAGTATTTCTCAACACATATTACTACCAGGTTATAGGGTGTTGGGGGTTGAACCAGGGCTTTGTGTAGAGTAAGCAAGCACTTATTAACTAAGCTACATACCCAGCTAGAAAAAAATTTAAAGGAATAAAACTGGGGATAAAAATAGCTTTGAGTATGCTGGTTAGGATTAAAATCAAACTGAGATAGGAAAAATATATTCACAGCTGACTGATAACATTTGTTTGTGATTTAATATGAATTTCAAGAGTGTGGTGGTCTGAATGAGAAACATCTCCCATAGGCTAAGACATGTGAATACTTGGTCTGCAGTTGTTGGCACCGGGAGGGTTTAGGAGATATGGTTTTGCTGGAGGAATGTTATAAGTCACACATTGGGGTGACATCTGTCATGTTTCAGCCTTGACAATGTTCACACATTCCAGGGTAGGGGCATGAGGATTAAAACTATTAGGCAAAAGGAACAGAGATATGAGAGAAACAAGAGATAGAGACACAGAACAGCACCGAGAGGGAAATTCAGTGAATATTAAATCCTCCACATTTATTTTCCTCATGCTTATTATATTCTCCACTCCAAAAGGGGAGGGGGAGGTAAGAGACTTCATTAATGTGATATAAGGAATAGACCAAGTATCTTGCAGGCAGCCACTCCCTGGAACCTCCTGCCAATCCCCCCGCCCTTAAGGAACAGGAATAGATTTGAATTCTCCAGCCTTTGGTGAAGGTGGAGCAGATCCACCTCTGTATTCAAACTACTAATTAACCACACCCTAGGTCAGGGCCTCTTATTTGGAGCCATACCTGTTGTCAACACCTTTGAGAGAGCAAGAATAAGCTCAAACCCTCTGAGTCAAGGTGGAACAGGACTCACCTCTGTGGACCCTGGCAGAGGAAGTATGTTTCTGGAGTGGGCCTTGAAAGCTTTGCCACTTCCAGTTCTCTTTCTGCTTCCAGATTGCAGTCGAAGAGGAAAATTTTCTGTGTCCTTCTGCACCATGCCTGCTGCCTGTAGCTTCTGCCTTGCCATTATGGACCCTAACCCTCTGGAACCGGAAGCCAAAATTAGCTTTTGTATGAATTGCTCTCGTCATTTTATCACAGGGACAGACTAATTAACTAAGTAACTAATACAAAGGGCTTTTGTTTTATTTAGTCATTTGTTCTGGATAAAACTGTACTTAAAAACAAATCACCAGCAACCTTTTCAGTAATTCCTTCTTCCAGATGCCAAAATGTACTTTTATTTCATATTAGACATAGACGAATTTCTCCCTTCCTCCCTTTTCTCCTGCCCGACTCTGTCCTTCCTTCCTATCTGTGGTACTGGAAACTAAACCCAAAGCCTATCTATGCTGGGTTAGCCTTCTACCTTGAGCTACAACTTTAGCTCCCCACCCCCAACTTTATACATCATATATTTGAAAATCTTGATATTTTGGGTCACAGACTGAGAGATCTGTTTGTCAAGTGGTTTTATTCTACTAACAAAACCCAAGTTGGGGTATATACCAGGCTTTTTCTTTTTTGGGCCACTAACCAGCTCCTGAATCATGGCATAGAGGCTTCTTATTAGTTCTGAATGCTTGGCCTAGCTTAAGGTCATTTCTGACTAGCTCTGTTAACTGAATTAATCTGTTTCTCTTTACCTTTTGCCTCAGGGCCATTTACTTTTCCTTCCTTCTGTACATCTTACTTTCACTGCTTCCCACGTCTGACTGACTGGTACCTGCCTGACTGCTGGCCCTGGGCACCTCCCTCATTCTCCCCCTCCTTCTTGTTCCTCTTGTTCCTCTTGTTCTCTCTCTCCCCTTCCCACCCACCCCCACCTAGATTCTTCCTTCTATTCATTCTCTCTGGATGCCAGCCCTATCTCTCCTTTCTCTGACTAGCTGTAGGCCAGTTATTAGACCAATCAGGTGACTCAGACAGGCAAGATGAAACAAATGAGACACATATTTATGTAGTTAAACACACATCCTTACGTCATTAAGTAAATGCAGCACAAACAAATGTAGCACACCTTTATATAGTTAAAGTAATATTCCACAGCATAAACAAGTATAACACACCTTTACATAGTTAAAATAATATTCTACAACATGTAAAATTTGTGCTTCAGGGAGTCTGTGAACATACTAGAAAAATAGAAAAGGTGTCTAATGTTATCTACCTATTCAAGCAATAGTCTAATGTCAAAGAAACTGCTTGGATTAAGTCTAAAATAAAGTGGTTGTATATAGAAATATATCAAGGCATTTTTCTGTGTGCTTTCCAGTATCATTCTAGGTTATTTTAAGAATTTCTCATTGGGCTAGAGAGCTGGCTCACCAGTTAAGGGCACTTGTTCTTGCAGAAGACCTGGGTTTGATTCTCGGTGTCCACACGGTAGTTCACAACCATCTTTTACTCAGTTGCAGAGATTTAGCATTCAGTACCCACTAAGTTGCTGTCTTGGTATTATCCTGTGTCTCTGTGTTTCTTTCTTATCTCTGTTCCTTCTACCTCTGGGAAATGTGAGTCTAGAAGCAAAAGTGAGTACCATAGCACTTTTCCATGGACTTGCACTTTTGGCATTATTAACCACAGTTTTGGAAAATAACATCTATATTTATGTAACCATATATGTTGAGTGCTGTAAGGATTGAGTATGCAAGGACAGCAAGTTCTCCTTGAGGAAGCAACAAACGAGAAAATTGCTTCTCCTCACTCTGTTCCAATCTGGATATTGGCTATGGGGCAGGGACAGGAAAGTCTTCCTGAACTCTGTATGTCATTTCCCATTAAAATTTAATGGAAAACACTGGGATTTATAATCATTAAAGGTTATGAAATTAAAAATTGTGCTTTGTTTCAAAAACTCAAGTCTACAATTTCCAGGCCCTTCCACTAAGGAACAGTTACTTCATCACTTTTACTTCTTTCTGGGAGAAGTGCTTGGCACACAGTGAACAGAAACGAAAACATGAGACAGCAGATCTCCAAAGTGCTTGCAGCCTAAAAGGTCTGTAGGCATCTTTTATGTAATAAGTAATGGAATAGCTGGAAAACTGCCTTTCAAAGCGGAAGCTTGAGGCCAAAAAAATAAAGACATGACAAGGCCTTTGAGAAATAGAGTAACATGAGGTGAAACTGGGAAATAGTCAAGGCAAGGGTGTTGGTTTTTTTTTTTTAAATATAAAGCTACTTAGTGGAGTATTTAATGAAGTTTTATTTAAACAGATTATACCACATGAACATTTGCATTACTCTTTCCTAGGCAATGTGGCCTTGAGGAGTAGAAGAATGAATAGGGTGCCAAAGACTGTTCTAAATTACATTGCTAGCCTGGGTGGCCCAAAAGAGAAGTGTGGAGAACAAATGATAGTTCTTTGTTTGTGCCAAGATATTTCTACAAGTTTCTAGAAAATTCTTGTTGCAGATTGTCAGTGAAATTTTTGCACTCACTAGATAGTCTGTGATTATAAATTATGTACTAAGAACAGAAAGGAGTCATATCTAATGTGAGAGAGGGAATATTTTGAGATTTAATTTCTTGAGTTGCCTGTAACTGAGAAATGGAAATGTATTTGAAATATTTCCCTCAATTTTTTATTCAAGTAAATGCTAGACTCAGGGGAGTTACAAAGCAGGATAGAGAAAATTCAGAACCAAGAGAGAGATAAGGTCAATGTGCCAGCTTTCAGAAAGTGACCTAACTGCCAGACAGTCTACAGCAGGTGAGCAATTAGCACGTCAGACTGTGTTTCTGAGAAGGGGAAAATCCCAACAAGGGAAAGGCTAGTTTTAAACATCCTAGTGTAGAAATTCTACAATTTCGTGAAAGAGGAAAATCTGTTATGGTTCTATAAACTTTAAGTCATAAAGCAATCCAGATTAATGAGTCGTTGCCTCTTTTAAAGCCTACCCGCTCCCAATTTGTTTGCATAAGAACTGGAATGCAGGAACAATTTTTCTCTCAAAAGTTTTTACACTTATTTACTGCACTGTATGCCATGGCATGCATGCAGAGGGCAGAGGATAAGTTGCATGAATATATGCTTTCCTTCCACCATGTGGGCTCTGACCATCGTACCCAGGCGATCAGACTTGGCAGCAAGTACCCTTACCTACTGAGTCATCTTGGATGCCTATGGAACAATTTTTCCCTCTACCTCCATGAGCTCTCAAGTTGTGGCCAGCGAGGTCTTGATCTGTATCTTATTCATTAAATCCCTTATGAAAAGTGATTTGCTTCGATGGTATTGAAGATTGTGTTCCCACCCATTCCTGTTTCACGTGGTTCCAGGACTCCAGCTCTTTTGACATCCTACCTTAAAGGACAGTTTCCCCATCATCACTGAAGAACCAGGTGCTGAATCATTAATTTTATATGTCAGATTAGGGCCAAATGTCTTTGAGCTTCAACGCCAAAGTGAAATAACTAAATACGCTTTTATTGTGAACCACACACCGCTAAGGAAAAGATTTCTGCATGGTGGATGTTTGTCAGTCCATTTCTGTGAGTTCAGATTGAACACATGGGGAAGAGCCCAGGGGTTCTATTCTCTGCGTGAACATCCCCAATGATGGGACTGATTAATGCCTGTCAAATGGCAAGCTTTCAACAAATAGTTGATTAAATCGACCTTCCCCAAACCAATAACTTCTAGTCATTTATTCATTCAAAGTTACTGGAACTAGCGCGTTAGCGACTCTTCATAGAAAGTGTGAAGGATTTCCCCCCCAAAGGATCTCTAAATAAAACAATGCATGGGTCGTTTATAAAAAAATAAACATCACGTCTAAACCTAGTGCTATGTTTTTGTATTTCTGCCCTAGGTTGGCCTCGGTTCCCCTCGGAGAGGCGGGTTAAGGATGTGCTTGCTGCCCTTGAGTCTCCTTCCTTTGTAGTTTTTTTGGCTAGTCTGGTTACGCTAGCCCCCGCGGCTGCGGAGCGCGCGGCCACGCCCGGGAGCGCGCAGCTCCCGCAGCCTGGCGGGCGGGGCCTCCAAGAACGGTCGAGCCGCGCGTCCTGCTGCGCCGCCCTCTTCCTCACCACCTCCCTCTCCCAGTGGTTTGTGGTATCCCGAGAGGGACAGAAGGTGTCCTCTCGGGTCCAGGCCCTGCCAGGCGGCCGCGAGCGTGAATGCCCGCAAGCGTGCGCGCGTGGGAGGCGGCTGCGCTCTTCCCGCAGGGGCCCAGCGCTGCGTGAGGATCCCCGGTCAGCCTGGACGCTCACTGGTCGTGGACCGGGCCCGGGAGCGCGCGAGGCGGCGACGGGAACCCGGGACCCCAGGCCGCGCGACACAGCCCCGAGGCGCCTCGCCCACGTTCACGCTCCACCCCACCCCCTCCGCTTCCTTCCTCTGTTCGGCGCGCCGGAGAGCGAGCGCGGGCTGGACGCGAACCAGGGCAAGCCTCGGGCCGTTCTACTTAGTGGTTCCCGGCCCGCTGCCCGCGCGCTGTTTGTGAGGCGTGGCCCGGCGAAGGAGGCGCTTGGGGGGCGTGGGGCTCCCCAGCTGGCGGCGGTGACGGAGAGGGCGCGCGGGACAATGAGCTGGGCAGCTGCAAGCCGCGACCGCTTTTAGCTGGCTAAGCGGGCCCACCTGCGAGCATGGCCCGCGTGCTCGAGCCAGGTGTCCCAACGCTTTAAGGCCGGAGCGCCCAGATCACAGCGCGCTGCGGCTGGGGCGGTGGGGACGTTCCTTCATTAATTTATTTATTTGTGGAGAGCAATCTCTGAGCAGCCGCGATGGCCAGCACCAGGAGCATTGAGCTGGAGCATTTTGAAGAACGGGACAAAAGGCCGCGGGCAGGGTCGCGGAGAGGGGCTCCCAGCTCCTCCGGGGGCAGCAGCATCTCTGGCCCCAAGGGCAATGGGCTCATCCCCAGCCCGGCGCACAGTGCTCACTGCAGCTTCTACCGCACGCGGACCTTGCAGGCCTTAAGCTCGGAGAAGAAGGCCAAGAAGGCACGCTTCTACCGGAATGGGGACCGCTACTTCAAAGGCCTGGTCTTTGCCATCTCCAACGATCGCTTCCGTTCCTTTGATGCGCTCCTCATAGAGTTGACCCGCTCGCTGTCTGACAATGTGAACCTGCCTCAGGGCGTCCGCACAATCTACACCATAGACGGCAGTCGGAAGGTCACCAGCTTGGACGAGCTGCTGGAAGGTAGGAGGGGCGGGCAAGGCTTGGCAGGTGCAAGCAATGCTTGGCAGGTGCAGTGACTGTGGGCAGGGCGCTTCCCCGCCTAGAGCGGGGCAGGTGCTTTCTAGGCAGCCAGGGGGATTAGAGCTCCTCTGTAGTTTGTGTTGGGCCGGGGTGCACACATTCTCTGTCCTTCTCAAGAGATTCCCCCCCCCCTTTTTTTTGAAGAAAATTCTAATGAGTAGAGACAAATACAGACAATGGTACCTTTATAATTAACCAACTTATTTTTGCTGGAAGGGCAAGGGCAAGCTGTTTGAAAGCATGGTCCTCCAGTGAGGCGCGGGGTAACCCTTGGTGGAGCTCAGCGCAGAACCTGTGCTGTCCCCGTGTTTGGGATCCCACTGTACCTTCTGTGCATGGCTGCGGTTCTGACTTGTTCCAGGTTGGCTTTTCTGATTTCACTTACGGCAGAAGTCACTCGAAATCAAGAGGGACTATTCAGCGTAGCAGGTATCTTGGCTTCATCTTGGACCATACTGGACACTTTTAAAAGTATAGGTGACTGGCCCCACCCCTTAGATATTATGATGTGCATGGTTGGGGTGTGACTTGGGCGTTTAAAGTTTGGAAAGTTCCTCAGATGATTTCAGTGTGTAGACAAAATGGAAAAGTAGCCGTGCTTAAAGAATTTTCCACATTTGGTCGACAACGGGGTGAATCAAGATGAATCTCTCCTGCCTTCTCCCTGAAGAGGATAACTAGGGTCGAGGGAAGTGACAGCAGAGGCCTATTAGAAATTAGTAATCCTGGCACAACAACCATGCATCACTCAGAAGGACCACTTGGTAATATGTTGGGTCATTCTTGAGTTTCTGCAATATTTATTAGTTTTCGGGAAGGGATGGGTGGTTGGTAGTTATGAACCTGATTTTTAGTTCTAAACAGCACCCAGAAAGACCAGATACATCCCCTAGTGTGTATGGACTGAATGTATACATGTAGCTACCTCTCAGACATCTTTTGTAATGCAAACAGGGCATTCCATGTAGCCATAGCAACAAGAGGGAGGAAACTGATCTCTGAACTAGGTGATTTTCTTATTTCAGCATAAGCTTATATTCTAAAGTCATTTTCTCCGTTTCACAGGTGAGGAAACCTAAGCAGCATGCATGCCAGGGTTACTGATTTCTCACAGGCCTCAGTTGATGCTTTCTCTTTTACAGTTCACCTCCAAAGGAAATAAGGTAGCCATTCTGAGGAGTCCTCAAAGTGCCTGAGTTTCTCCATTACTTTTAGCAAATGGTACCCTTGCTCTGGCTACAGGACAACACAATTAAAATTGTCTTCTATATAATTTAGCAGTAGAACGGGCTACCTCACACTTTGCCTTCGTAGTGAGTTTTGGTTTTAAAGACTAAAAGAAGAGGGCAAGAAACCTGTAGGTGTGCCAGTAAAATGAAGAAAACATCGTTGAGAGATAAGGTCTCACTACATAGCTTCGGCTGTCTTGGTACTCACTATGTAAACCAGGCTGGCCTTGAACTCACAGAGATCCGCCTGTCTCCAGTTTCCTGAAAATGGATCCTGATAGTTTTTGTCTGATCCCCATGTCAGAGCACCAGCACAGTGAAAGGCTCAACACTGTTGTGCAAGCACGTGTCACTCACGGGTCCTCAGGTGATGTACCCACTCCACCTCCAGATGGTTAATAATGCTAGGGTCCTTCTCTGAAGTTATTTTGACAAGGTATTGTTAAGTTAAATTAAACTGCTTCAAAGGAGAGATAAGAGCATTTTCTGGGTTAATATAAAGACACATGCTATACGTCTAGTCCTAGGGGATGGGTGGCCTTCTGAGTCACTTCGAGTCCAAATAGGTGGTTGGGAAATTTCCTTGAAGTCTTTCACTTGCTGATATTTGGAGAATGGTGATTTGGGCAAACACTGACTACACATACAGTCCAAAAAATTATACCACATTGTAAATAATGGTACAACAAATGGTTTCTGTGCCTTTGCTGACTTGGTTCAAGAGTTTTCGTAATATAAAATGACTGTAAAAGAAATTTCAAGCCGGGCGGTGGTGGCGCACGCCTTTAATCCCAGCACTCGGGAGGCAGAGGCAGGCAGATCTGTGTGAGTTCGAGACCAGCCTGGTCTACAAGAGCTAGTTCCAGGACAGGCTCCAAAACCACAGAGAAACCCTGTCTCGAAAAACTAAAAAAAAAAAAAAAGAAAGAAAAAAAAAGAAATTTCAACTTTTTTGGTTATAGTAGAAATCTGTCTAATAGTGTCTTTCTCTATTAATTTCTTAGTTGAACAGGGTGACATATGCCTGTGATTCCAGAGCCCTGGAGGTACAGGCTGCTGGGGGATCATCAAAAATTTAAGGCTAGCTTGATCTAAATAGTTAAGTTCCCAGCTGCCAGGAATATATAGAACTTGTCTTTAACATTGAGCCTTCTCGCCACCCCCTTTTTAAAAAGTGTTTGTTATGCAAGTGTGGGGAGCAGAATTTGGACCCCCAGAACCCACATAAATGCTGATGGATATGGAGGCTTGCCTGTAATTCTAGCTTTGTGAGACAGAGTCGGGGATCCCCAGAGCAGCTGACTACTGAGACTAGCTGTATCAGTAAGCTCTGGGGTTTATGGAGAGACATCCCCTACCTTACTTAAGGTGAAAGAGTGATTGAGGACAAGTCCCAGCATCAACCCCAGCCTACCACGTGCATGCACACCGTCATGTACATGCATATCCCCACATGTGTGCCTGCACATATGCCAACATGCAAAGACACATATGAAGTTTCAGGTTTCAATTAAAATCATGTGCTCAAATGTTCAGATTTATCCCACTGAACCAGGGTGCTTTCTGATGTAACTTACCTCGGTGAGTACAGTGTTGGCCATGCTGTCAAACTACTCTACTTCATGTGAGTCAGCTGTTAAACTATGTTTCATTTTCTTTGCCTCTTCCATGCTAGCAAACATACTTTAGGAAGTGATTAAAACAAAACTAAAATTGCCTTCAATTAAGACTAGAGAACTTGATTCAGGATTACAAGGCTCCTTCCTAGCCACTGTCCCCTTGAGCTCAGATGACAAAAGAAATTTGCATGGCCCAGTTTTTTTCTCCTACCCTTGACCTTGAAAGTCTCTGGAGACTCAAGCTGGTCTGGTGTAGGACAGCTTTCCTTCAGCATGGTTCCTAAACCAGCTAACTGGTTTATTCAGCTTTCTGGATTAGTATTGCCGAGTGGGCAGTGTGGGTTCCTGTAAATCTGTTTATTCTTGGAAACTCTTGTAGGACTCTATCTCCCAACAGTAAGTGTGGGAAAATTAGGTTGAGTCTGCTGAGCTTGGAGTATCTCTGAAGGTCCATTCGGAATGTCCAGATGAGGGCTTTTAGCACTTTTTCCCACTTGTCATCCCCTTTTGCCTAACATAAATTATAATCACCTGGTTATAGGTATATAAAATGACATAGCATTTACTAAAAGTAAATCATGAAGAAATATATTTTGTGTTTAAAATTTGTTTTATTAAGTTTGTTTCTATGTATGTCTGTGAATGTGCATACCATTTTGAAAAAAGGAATGGGAAGATACTGGTTTGGTAAGATCAATTTGCGTGCTTTTGCTTGCAGGGTAACACTTATTAACATTTTAAACAAACACACTAAGGAACCTGGAGGCAAAAGCCGATGCAGAGGCCATGAAGGGTGCTGCTTAATAGCTTGCTCATCACGGCTTGCTCAGCCTGCTTTCTTATAGAACCCAGGACCAGCAGCTCAGGGATGGCACCACTCACAATGGACTGGATCCTCCCCCATCAATAGTTAATTGAGAAAATGCCCTACAGCTGAATATTGTGGAGGTTCATCTTGTCTAGTTTGTGTGTCAACTTTGATATAAGACCAGCCAGCACATCCTAATGCTTGTGCTGCAGCCACTTGACTGACGGAGCTGTCTCCATGGTCTGCTATTGGAATATGCATATCAGAATATACATTTAGAGCAATTTAGTTCATTGAGCTCTTCCTTAGAATATCTTTTACAAATTTAAGATTAATTTTGAAATAATGATAAAATTGTTTCTCAGTCAGCGATAGTCTCCTTCCTCATTTCCTTGCTGCTCATCTTCATCTCTTAACAGTATTTTGCCTCACCTGAAGAAAGTCACCAAAATGTATTGCTGGATCTATGCATGTTCATTAAGCCCGTGTGAGTGAATAAACCTGAAAAGTGGCCCAGTGGATGTTAGTTTAGTTTAGTTAGTTTAGTGATCAAAGTCAGTAGCTGGGGAGTTACACATGAATCTTATAGTGCATTTAAATACTTAGTAGCCTGGCTCCTAGAGATACTTGAGTCATGGTCTTCAGAATCTTCCAGCAAAATTATGTCTGACACCCACCCCCACCTCCAAGTGCTCGGATTAAAGGCATACACCACCATGCCCTGTCTACCTTTTTTCTGACTCGGAACAGACCATGTGGAGATTCATAAAACGTTGGCTATGTCTTCCTCCTCCTCCTCTTTCCCCTTCTTCCCCTTTTCCTCCTCTTCCTTCCCCCAGCCCCTAACTCCCTTCTCCTCTTCCAGGTGCCCAGGCACTTTGACATCAGAGTTACATCTCAGGCCTGCCCTGCCTATTGTTTATCTGTCCTTCAGATGTGACCCATTTCCCTCAAGTCTTCTCATTCTTGGAAGGCCTGTCTATCTGTCTTTCATTTTTGGACGAACACTTATTTTCTGAACTTTTGTTACTTGTGTGAGTGCTGAATCTAAGTCACAATCGGTATTGCTTGCCGAAACTGAGGGCTAAACTGTGCTTTTAGATCCATGCAAGATTAAGGATGCAGGAGAGGAGAATTGAAGGACCCCAGAGGCAGGCTCATCCAAGCAGTGGTTCCCCAGTTAATGGGATGCTACACTCATTGTGCCCCAGTTTGTTTGCAGATGTCAACCGTCTTTCAGTTTGAAACCATTCCACTAGCCTTATAGTTGCAGTTTGTTTGTTT